TAAGCGAAGGCCGATGACAGACAAGAGATAAATAACAATGATACACAAACATGCTCGCACAATTGTCTCAATACTCCAGAACTCGCACAGCCAACTGCCCGCAATTAAATATAGAGGGCAGAAAAACCACCCCGACAATAACACCCCCGACGCGCGAAGCGGTTTAGCAAACGCACCCACAGGAGGAATCGAACAGGATAAGGCTGTTTAGTAAACGCCCAGGGCCGTTTAGTAAACGCCAACTGTCCGGTCCGCGTGGTTTTTCCTCCCTTGAAGATAGGACCTGGGCTCGTAGCAAGCGTTTCAAGCAGGCCCAATAATACCAAATCGGTACACGCGATCCTACGCCCGACCACGCCGGGTAGGACACCGCGCGACCAAGCACAACCAGAACACACCAGACACGGACAGTGCACAGAATATCAGCCAAAAAACAAGCAAAATACTGGTCGCTGGATGGGTTGCTGGGGACTTTTTTTTTGATCGCGAGCGCGCCGGAGGTGCCGGACGCCGTCAAAGTGGCAGCACCGGGCTACGAGCGAAGTGCGCACCGAGAGGAGGGAAACAAACGACGAGAGGAAAAACAGGCGACTAACAAACAGCGGAGGAGGGACAAACTGGAGGCGGGCCTCGCTGCCGCTCAGGAGAGGGGAGGGTTGCTGGGGATACTTTTTTGTTTACCGACCGCTGGCGGGCAGCCGCGCGGCGTCTGTAAGTCAAGCGACAGCCAGGCCTACGCAGCAGCGGGCAAGAGCCTAAACTACAGCTGGCAAAGCATTGGTTGCTGGGGACGCGCAGGGCGTCTAGAATTGCCCTGCAAGAGAAAGTGCTGGCTTCCCAGGCCACCCACGTCGTGAGCTGTCCGATCCACGGGCTCCGAAACGATCCCTTCCCATGGTCGGCTTTTCGCTCCAGGCCGTTTCTCGAGTCGGATGTTGCCAGAAGTTGTCCTGGCCTACGGTGCCCCCAGCCTTTCGCGCTATCTATTTAGAGCCCCTGGGACACCCTAGGCCTCGTGAGGGGCGCTCTGGAGGCCACTCCAGCCTCCCCGGAAATCCTGGGGACACAGGTGTCGGAAACAATTAAGCAACAGTCATGCAGAACATATGGTTTGAACTCGACCCCCCCTCCCCCAAATGCAATGTTGGTTTCGGATCTTCCGACCTTGGGCCTCCGAGTGGTCTTGAAGGAACGTGCCAACTTTGGGTTGCGGGGGAGGGGGGGAGTGTTGCTTAACTTCTTGCCTCCACCGCACCTGGGGCAAGGGGCACCTTTGGCAACACCCAACTCCTGGCCTCAGGGCCCGAAAGCGGCCCCCAAAGACCGAGACCGAGAAAGAAGACGTCGGAGGCCTCGGCTCACGTCCCCGACACCAACGCGCATGCCGCCAGACTTTTCGGCAGCAGCGCATACCATCTTGTCGGCTCTTGCGAATCGACGCTAGTCGACGCTATTCGACGCAACATCGACGCTAGATCGGCGCTATCTCATCGACTCGCAGACGCTAATCGACGCTAAAGACAGGATTCAGAGGGTATGCCAGGCTCCCATGATTTGCTACCGAAAGACGTCGCACTCCGCGCCGTGCGAAGCGCGGTCCTCTTCGCGTTCCCGCGCCGCCACCCTGGAGAAGACCAGCGCTCGGGCCCAGCGTCAACTCGTGGATCATGCTCGCGAATGGGTGACGGCCGACATTAGGTGAACGAAGAATGACATAAACATAAAAACTCGGAGGTCCGCGCGGATTTCTCGGATCGGCGCTGGACCCCCTCCCTGGCGCGCGGAGCGCGCCAGGGCGGTGCCAGAGGCGTCGCCAGGGGGGCCCATCGCCGATCCGAGAAATCCTCGCGGACCTCCGAGTTTTTGTGCTTATGTCATTCTTCGTTCCCCTAGACATGGACCGTGACCAAAAGATCGACGTCGACAAGATGCCGCGACAACTTGCTCGTGGTCCCACAGCTTCTGCCCTCGACGAGCTGCGAAGCGCGACCGTCTTCGGGCCCCGGTGGGCGATCCGAGCTCGCCGAGCTCGCCTGGTTCGCCGGGAGCTTCACGAACCCGGAGACCATCACGCGCGCGCGGTCGTCGCCGCGGGCATCGCAGGCGCCCTCGGCGAAGCGGTCGGCGTCGATGCCGTGCTCCCTGACGTACTCGAAGGCCAGCTCCGACGTCGCACCTGGGCGGCCAGATATGGACCCTACATCCCTGCAGGTCGGACTTTTTTTATGTTGGGCGGCATCTCTCTTGATCAGGTCGATTGAACGGTTCACAACGTGACTCAACAATGAAGGCAATGTACACGAATTCTGTAAACTAGGAACCACGACTCTCAATAAAACCTTGTGCATTGACGCCTCGTTAAACCATGCATCTGAGTAGTCGAACACCTCTGAAGAGTAATTAGTGTTGCCAGCTGCAGAGCGACCTCGGCTGCGCAGAGCTCGGCAGGTCAGACTTCTGATGAGAAACTGGCCAGGGGGCCAACAGTTGGAGGACGTCTACAGCCAAGAAAACCCCGGCGGGGGTGTCCGATCCGCCCCCCCCCCCACCGTTTCCGGAAAGCGGCGCGCGCCGCGCGGGGCGGCGCAGGGCCCCGGTGTTAGCTAGGTCGGGCATGTCCTCCTACGGGCTGACTGTGGAAGAAGAGTGAAAAAGAGTCCCCTCCTCCAAAACAAATGCAGTCACAATTAGTCGACATTAGTCCAAGCATCGTCCCCAGACTGTTCTTGAACTGTCCTGGAATACTCCCCCTGCAGAGGGACCTGCCCGACCTGACCCCCGAGGCCTTCCGCGCCCTGGCCGTCCCGAGGCGCGCCCACCGCCGCCGAGAGGGGCCCAGAGCCTCGTGGGGCGGGGCGGCCCGCGGCGGCTTCGACGGGAGCCGCGGGGGGGCAGGGTCCGAGCATCTCCTCAGGGTGGAGGGCCGAGGGCGGGATCCCTATGGGCTCCTGCACCTCGAAGATCGATCCGTGTTGTGATTCACCTTGTGCAGATTCGAGCATCGAAAATCCGTGGAAGCGGCACTTACGATTTCACCCTTTGCCCTCCACCCAAAGAAAATGCTCGGAGGATTTGCAAGTGGTCGCGGGGTACCCGCCGCAGCCGCCCCAGGCCCCGCAGTTGCGCGGCGTCGGGCTTGCAGCGGAGGACCTGCTGGCCGCGTGCACAAGGGGTCGGGAAGCGGTGAGCGTTTTCTGATTCGGCGTTTCGACAGTGGTCGGAGGGGGGGGGTGGAGGGGGGGGGATCTGGCTCCGGACCACTGCTTAATGCGACTGCTTGCAACAGTGCGCCCTATGGAGGAGACCCCACCTGCTTGAAACAGGCGCCAACAAACCGCCCAGATCTACTCCATGGAAGGGGGGGTGGGAGGGGGTGCGAGGGCCCGCGCCGATCGGCAAAACAATGGATGAGAAAACGATCACGGGGGGGGGGAAGGCTTCTTACAAGCACCCCTGCTTCTAAGAAGCCTTCCCTCTCCTTCCCCCTACCCCCCTCTGCGCGTGGCCGAGCAGTGGAACAGCAGGGGCAGGGTTCGAAAAGGAGCCGCAGGGCACCCCCACAGCCGCCCGGGCCCCCGCAGTTGCGCGGGTTCGGGGTGCAGTGGAGGATCTGCTCGTAGGAGAGCTCCGAGGCGTTGCCGTGCGCGATCTCCTGTGGCGTGGGTGGGGGGGGCAACGACCCCCATCCCTGACGTCAATCTTGTTACGAGGGGGGGTGGGGGAGGGGTTGGAGCCACGGGTAACGGCAACGCTTGGGCGGGGTTGGGCACGTCGGGGTGGGGGGGGGCGCTGCGATTGCCACAATACGCGCGCGAACACCAACACGTGGGGAAAGGCCCAAGCCTCCCCTACGTGCGATCGTTAATGTTATCCTGGGGGGAATGGGGTCTGGCTCAGGTCAAGACCCTCCCTTACACGCCAGAGGAAACAACAAAATCCTGGCATCGATGGCAGACCGACTATCAGAGCTGCCAGACACAGCCAAGGCCCAGACCTCTGATGTTCTGTTGTCCTCGGATCCCTCGACGACTGACCAAGGACCAAATTTTGATGCCAGACCGTTTCCTGATGATCCTAGAGCTCGAATGCGGAGGGCAAGCAAAAACCCGTCTTGGTTTTGCTCAAGGCGCTGGAGGTCTGGGGATGACCGCCAGAATCTGCTCAAGATCGGTCTCCACACATCCTTGAAGCCATCTCGGCCAGCTCCCCAAGTAGCAACCCTGGTCGTGGCGCACGAAAGTCTCCAGAGACGCCCCCGAGCCCCCTCGAAACAACGACGACGACGACGACAAGCTCCCATCCCGTCCTCGAAAGCTCGAGGCGCAAGAATGCTCACAAGCTCCAATCCTCTCACCTCGACCCTCGAAGCCCGAGGACGACGCCGACGCCGACGACGCAACCGCCGACGACGCTGACGCCAACGCGGACGCCGATGCCGACGCCGACGCCGCCGCCGCCGACGACGACGACGACGACGCCGACGCCGACGCCGACGCCGACGCCGCCGCCGCCGCCGACGACGACGACGACGACGACGACGATGATGACGACGACAACGATGACGACGCCGACGACGACGACGCCGACGCCGACGCCGACGCCGACGCCGACGCTGACGCCGACGCCGCCGCCGCCGACGCCGCCGATGACGACGACGACGACGACGACGACGACGACGACGACGACGACGACGACGACGACGACGACGACGACAGCTCTCGATCTCCATGTGCGTCTCGAGCGCGCCGGTGGCGGCGACCGCCCAGCAGGAGCCTCGGCAGGGCCCAGATCTGGATCGAGGCGCGGTGCCAGTACCCGCATGCTCTGGCTGTCGCCGCCGACGTGCAGTCCAGACGCGGGTTTCTGCTGCTCCTTTATATTTTTTCCACCGGGAACCAGCGGCGAACCCGTTGCCACAACTTGGCGGCGCGCACAAGGGGGTGGAGGGAGGGGGGAAAAGGGCTTCTTAGTAGGAGGCTGCTTCTCAGAAGGCACCGGCCTTACATCTATAGATAAGGCCCGCGCCTTCTGAGAAGCAGGGGTGCTTTTAAGAAGCCCTCCCCCCTCCCCACCCCCCCCTCTGCTTGTGGCCGACATTATTTCTCCACCGAGAACCAGCAGCGAACCTGTTGCCGAAACACAGAGAGCAGAGAGTCCCCCCCTACAACCATCACCCCGACAAAAGCGAGGCCGTCTGGCAAGCGCACCCAGGGAAGGAATCGAGCAGGGCAGGGCTGCTTCGTGAACGCCCAGGGCCGCTAGCAAACGCCAATGGTCGGGTCCGGGTGGCCTGCCCTCCCCTCGCAACAGGCGCCGAGATCAGGAGTGCTCTGGGCTCCGGGAGGGCCCTGGCTTGCGGGCCGCCCCCTCGGCTCCAGGATCCTGGCCCCGGGGCGCCCCCGTCGTGTCCCAGGCCCGCCGTGGCCCGCCGTGGCCCGGTCGATCCGGCGTCTGGCTTTCCCTGTGGTGCAGTCGGGGCGCTGACCTATAGGGGACCCTCGAATGAGGAGCGAGGCCCCTCTTTCCCATGAGTCAAACTGCGATTTCCCGTGGGAAACCTCAGGAAAACCTGAGGCAAGCTGTTGAACCATCAAGGAACACCGAGCCCCTCCCCAACGAGAAGGGTTCGTTCTGCAGCGCCCCGACTGCAGAGCGACGCCTGCGGACCGCCAGCGGCAGGTCCGCGCCGTGGCGACGTCGGCGAGGCGTTGGCTTCTGACACCGCGTGGACCAGGCAATCTCGAGCGATCGGCGGCCTTGTCGATCGCCAGACCGCTCCATGTCGGCCGATTCCTGGCCTCTGGCGGCGCTCAACCCTGAAATACCTTGGAAAGCCCGCGGCGGGGTCGCTGCCGCGTCGACACGAGGCGAACCTACGGCAAGGACCGACCACGACGATGTTCAAAACGTGTTGGCGTTCAGAACGAGAGCGAAAACGAATCCGAAAATATACAACGAAACGATGAAAACGATACGGGTGCAAACGAAAAAGTCGCGGACCCACGGTGGCTTCGCACATCGTGCCCCGCGATGGGCGCCGCGCGGCCGTCTTTGCGTCCTTGCGCGAGCGCCCCGCAGAAAGGCGCCTCTGCGGCCCCCTGGGCCGCGCGGGGCGAAGCGCGCATGTTTCCGCGCCCATGCGTGTGGCCGAGACCGAGGGGGTCTGGACCTCCACCATCCCTTACCGACGGCGGGAACCCTCGTTCATATCTCGATGTGTGTAGAGATATGCATATTTACATGATGACGGATATCTGAGCGTGTGCTTGGAAGCAGAAGAATAACAATAATACGAAAACGAACCACAACGTTAATCGTTAGAACAATAATACGGATAATACTGAAACGACTAATAATAATACGAACGCTACTACGAACTGTAATACTAACTAATACGAATGATACTAGCCATCGTAAGCATTCGGATACTAATATTACTGAGACAATAAATACTAAGCCGAACAGCACTACGAACAATAACCATAATAACGATGTTAATAATAATGGTGATGCAAATAATACTGGTGATAACACTAGTGCTAACGTTCATGGTGATACTGGTGATACTAAAAATGAGGACACTCGTTCTAAGACGGATAAGACTAATGATAATACTCATAATGATGGAATTACAAAGAAAATAAGAACATGTGAACGGACGACATCACATAACCTCCAACTATCACCGCCTGCCGCACGGCAGGTGCACGAGCTACGCAGGCTGGGGCAAACAGATGTACATGTTAAGCGAACGGCACTCGTGTTATGCCTGAGTTTGTGTATACCCGTACGGCGGAAACATGTTGACATCGATCTGCTCTTTTGGGGCATCGCGGAAAGGATTTCGACGCCAATGTGTATATACAGACATACGGCGGAAAGGATGTCTACCTCCATCTGCTCAAGAATCTGCTCGTTTGGGGCCTCGGGGAGGGCCCTGCCTTCGTCTCGCCACGGCCGGGCCCACACCAGCACTGGTAGGGACCCGCTCCAGGACAAGCTGGCAGGGACGACTCTGAAGCGGAAGCCGGTCCTGGGGATGTCCCCCCCACCCACAGGCGACGAGGAGGAGAACGAGGAGGAGGACGAGGAGGAGGAGGAGAACGAGGAGGAGGAGGAGGAGGAGGAGAACGAGGAGGAGGAAAACGAGACGACGAAGACACCGCGATTCAAGAGCGCAGCGGAGGATCACCACAACGAGGCTGTGCCGCCACGTGCGTTTGAGGAGCGCCTGGGCAGTTATCGCGGAGAACCACGCACGGAGGAGGAAGCAGAGCGAAGAGGGGGGGCCGGGGGCTGAAGTGGAAGCCAATCCTGGGTATGGGGCCGAACGCCCTGGGGCAAACGTCGCGAGAGAGAAAACCCAAACAAAACAAACGATCAGAAACCGAAAACTGCATCGGAGGCTTGCCCATGTCTTCCCCAGGACCTCTTCAACGCCCTGACGGTAGCCGACGACACCACGACGCGAGCCTGGACGTCCAGACGCGGCCCCTGGACCTCTCGGCTCTCTTCCCAGGGCCTGGGGGACCAGTATCCGTCTGGGGTCGTTGTCTGGCTGCTCCCGGGGCCCACAAGCGGACTCCGGGTGCCGAAAACTACGACCCTCCGTCCTCGTCGTTGTCAAGTCGTTGGAGGCTCGGGTGTTCGTTATCAGGGAGGGGGGGGGCAGTACGCATCGGTTTGAAGAAGTAGGTAGAAACATGACTAGGAAGGCGTTAAAAGTAGACCCGCCACCCAAAGAGGACGGAACAGGTGAAGCCAATCGATCGTTGAAGTAGGAAGGCGCACGAAGCAGATTGGAACCTGGGACTCCAGAGACACCTGCTCTCAACGACGGACGGGCAACGGGGGGACGAAACGCGCACCTCTCGTGTGCACCTTCTGGGCCCGCGGTGGCAGCGCAGTTCGGGGGCCGCTCAGGGCCTCTTCAGGGTCACGCTCCTGCTGTCCTCGACCCCCCACGCCCTCTCTTCCCCCCCCCCTTCGCCGCACGCCCAGGAGGTCTGAGATCCCCGACGCCGGTGCTGGTGCCAACTTCAGAGCCTCCGAGAACCACACATGCCCTGGTAGAGCACGCGCCTGCGGGGCCGCAGCGGGCGGAAGAGGTGGGTCGGAGCAGAGGGGGTCCCGGGACCGCGGCTTCCTCCCTGCCCTCTCGGCCCCTCCTCTCCTCCTTCCTCCCCCCTGCCCTCCTCCCCCCCTCGCTTCTCCCTCCTCCCCCGGCTCCCCACATCCCTTTTCCGTCCTCCCCCCTCCCCCCTTTTCCCTACTCCCCACTTTCACCTCCCTTGTCCCTCCTCCCTCCTTGCCTCCTCCCTCTCCCCCTCCCCGCTCCGCTGCACGTCCTCCCTCGTTCCTTCCGCCCCCCTCCCTTCGAGAGCCGCGCGGGCTGACAGACGCCGTCCGATTCGCGCCGCCTTCTTCCCAAATCGTTCCTCCTCCTCCACCTCTCTCCTCTCCGCCTGCCCTTCACTCCCTCCTCCTTCCCTCCTCCCTCCCTCCTCCTTCCCTCCTCCCTCCCTCCTCCTTCCCTCCTCCCTCCCTCCTCCTCCCTCTCCCTCCCTCCCTCCCTCCTCCCTGCTTCTCCCTCCCTCACCCGACCTGCTTCATCCCTCCCTGCCTCCCCTGCTCCTTCCCTCCTCCCCTCTCCCCTCTCTGCTCTCCCCTCCTCCCCGCTCCTACTGTTCTCCTCTCTCCTACCTCCTTCCACCCTTCTCCTCCGTGTCTCATCCCGCCTCCCTCCGCATTCCTCCTCTCCACTCTCCTTCCCCCCCTCCTCCTCCTCCTCCTCCTCCTCCTCCGCCTCCTCCTCCTCCTCCTCCTCCTCCTCCTCCTTCTCTTCCTCCTCCTGTCTGGCGCCAGTCTCTCAGAGCCGAGTCCAGCGTCAGCGCCAAAGGCGAGGCTGCCACGGTGCTGCTCGATCAATATTATGAGACGACTGATCTCCGCAAACTGTTGCACCGTTGCAAACAGATCGGCTTTCCGATGGCTCTGGCGAGAGTCGCCAGTTGCATGTATGTCCAGTCGTTGGTTCAGGCTCGCTGGTTTTGTGGATGGCCCCTTTTGGGCAGCTCGGGGCATTGTGGCGGGGTGCAATTCCGCCACGACCCTGGGTCTATTCCATCGGAGCTCTTGACCGTCTCACTCTTCGGCCTCAAATTCACCTCAAGATGTACATCGATGATTCCGGATTGTCGTGTACAGGATCGCCCGAATACGTTTTCACGCACCTCTCTCCGGCGGTGGTGAGCCTCCACAGGGCCTTCACGGAGGAGATGTGAGCGATTGTCTCGGATGACCCTGCCAAGAGTTCGTTGATTTGTTCGTCGCGCCTCCTGGGCCAGCAGTTGGGCAGCCGCCTCGGAGGCTTAGCAGGCCCTTTGGTTCCTAGCGCTGCCAACTTAGGCGTCGACGATGCTGCTGGCAAGCCGCGCCGCCGACACGGGAGATCAGCGAAGGCGAAATCCAAGGAGATCAAATCCAAAGGGTTCTGTTCCAAGCTGGCCCATTTGCGGCCCACGGCTCGGAAGGTTTTTGAGTCTGGGGCCATGGCGTCTAGCCTTTTCGGGGCGGACGTCCATGGGGTCACGGACCATGAGTTACTCCAGTTGAAACGGTATGCAGCTTCGGTGCCGCAGCCGTCGGCGCGCGGTCGCAGCTTGACGGCGTTGCTTGGCCCACCAAGAGCCGTGCTGGCTCGCTACGGTAGCCCCCATCATTCGTTGGGCTAAAGAGGTGTGGATTTCTCACCTCCATCTTTACCCCCACTCCATCCCCCTCGCCGAGCTGGCAATTTCGAGGGCGAATCCCCGCTGTGGCGCAATGTTGGAAGACCCGTCGCTGCTCTACGGAAGAGCTGTGAGCGCATCTCTTGGACGATGCGGTCGTTTGCTGAGTTTCTCACGGACCAGGGCCAAGTTGTGAAACTCACGGTGCTTTCCCCGCGTCTCGTCAAGACCCTCCTCAGGAAAGCTGTGCTTCGGGGTTTGGAGTGGGACTTGGGAGCCCGGCTCAATATGTCTTCGCGGGCGTGTGGACGGCTTGTTATCTTCTCTTCGGTCTAAGATATTCACCCCGTTCCAGCGGGGATGTTGTCGGGCTTTGTTGTGCGATGCCATTTGCACTCGGAGTCGCGCGGTCAGCTTAGGCTATGTGATTGGCGACCGGTGCGTCCTCTGCTTGGAGGCTCGGGACACGTTAAGGCACCGGCTGTGGGAGTGCACCGCGGTGGAAGTCGAGCGCGCGGAGCTTGTCCAACCTGATGTTCGCAGGCTCGCGGCCGAAGCCGACGATGCTCTAGCATGATACAGAGTGTTTCCACATCCAGGGGACCAGTCTCCAGCTCCAGCATCCTCGGGAGGCATCGTTGTGGAGTGGGTCTCGGAGCAGCGAGGCGACTTATCCGTGGCGGTGCAGGGCGACATCTTCTGGGACAATTCGTGTACGAGGAGGCTGGTGAATGAGCTGAACCGCGCTGGCTGGGCTTTCACCGTCTGGGATCGTAGCATAGGTCTCGAAGTGGTCAGAATCCGTGGACCTGTTTGGGGCCCTGTTCCACAGACCCCTCAGGCTGCGGAGTTCCACGCATACAGTGTCGCTCAGCAGTGGTCTCTGGGGCCAACGAACCTGTTCCTCGATTGCCAGAGTTGTATAGATATTCATCGTTTGCCCTTCCCTGCACAGTTCTCGCCAAAACCTACTTTTGCGGGGGTCGCCCAGTTTTGCAGAGAATTTTCGCACCAGTGCTCTGTTTCAAAGGTGAGAGCCCACCAAGTCGAGACCGACGGCGAAAATGCTTGGACGCGGTATCTGCGCGAAGGTAACAACGCAATCGATCGGTCCGCGAAGTTCGCGGTTGACCTGCACAAGGAATTCGACCGTGAGCCCGTCGAGCGGCTGGACGAGCAACGCCGTATCTCTTGGGCTGTGGCTTTGTTGGCGGCTAAATTGATGCCGTTGTGGCCTAAGCTTGGCATGGGCCCCAGCGTTGCGTGTAGTCCTCCCCCTCCCCAGCCTCCTAGCGGCGCCCCGAGGCCCCCACGTTCGGGGCACTCCTGGTCTTTAGACTGGCAAAGTCTGGCAATGTTTGTGCTACTTCCGTGGGGCTCGGTCTCAGGAGAAACCAGCTGCTGGTATTCGCCGCGGGGTAGTCGGCGTTGGAGTTCGAGGCTATGATGCTCCGAAGTTGGCTGCTTTGGGACATAAGATGTTGTTTCTCGACGCCAGCGAGAGTAGCTTTGTGTCTATTTGCTTAAGTTGCAAGTCCTATACTTGTGGTGGCCAAGTTCGGGGCCTCCGACTCGAGTGCAAGCCCCTGCCAAGATCTGGGGCTCAAGGTCGGAAGCACGCTTGGAACCAGGATGCTTCAGGATTGCGCCCCAGGGAGGCTGGCGTCTCTTTAACCGTTGGCCCTTGGGGCAACACGCAAGAAGAGGATCCTGCTTCCCTCGTCGAGCCTCCTGCCCCCTCGGACGAGGATTCGGACGGCACTCGCACGCTGCGCAGAACCCCGATTGCTTTGAGGCTCCTGGGTGCAGCGGCGGGGCCAAGCCAACCTGGAGCTTGTGGAGACCACTCCGAAACTGGGTCTGATTGAAGGCAATTTTTCTTGTCGATCCGGCCAATCTGTCCTGCTACGTGGTCGCTCTCGTGTCAGGCTGTTCGTTCCGGGAACTTGTTTTTATGTTTTTCCCCTGGCGGGTCTCGCCCCCCCCGCTTGAGGTTTATGTGGGTAGCTTGGCGCCGTCAACGACAAACAAATCCTCCTCCTCCGCCTCCTCCTCCTCTTCCAGAGGTCTCTGAAGGTCCCGAGGCCCGGAGGCCCCAAGGTCAAAAACGTCCAATACTGTCTCAGTCATTACCCTTCCTCCTCCTCCTCCTCCTCCTCCTCCTCCTCCTCCTCCTGCCTCCTCCTCCTCCTCCTCGTCCTCCTCCTCCTCCTCCTCCTCCTCCTCTTCCTCCTCTTCCTCCTCGTCCTCCTCTCCCTCCTCTTCCCCTCCCCCTCCTCCTCCCTCCTCCTCCTCTCCTCCCTCCTCCTCCTCCTCCTCTCCTCGTCCTCCTCCTCCTCCTCTTCCTCCTCTTCCTCCTCGTCCTCCTCTCCCTCCTCTTCCCCCTCCCCCTCCTCCTCCTCCTCCTCCTCCTCCTCCTCCTCCTCCTCCTCCTGCCTCCTCCTCCTCCTCCTCGTCCTCCTCCTCCTCCTCTCCTCCTCTTCCTCCTCGTCCTCCTCTCCTCCTCTCCCCCCTCCCCCTCCTCCTCCTCCTCCTCCTCCTCCTCCTACTCCTCCTCTTCCTCCTCCTCCTCCTCCTCCTCCTTTTCCTCCTCCTCCACCTTCTCCTCCCCCTCGACTCGATGAAGGCGTCGGTGTCAGATCCTTCCTCACCCTCGTACTCCTCCTCAGTACCCTTGTCCTCATCCTCATCCCCCTGCTGCTGCTGCTGGTCCTCAATCCTTTCCTCCGCCTCACCCATCCTCCTCCTCACTTCCTCCTCCGCCTCGCGGGGCACGTTTGAGCGCAGGGCGAGCAGGGGGGGCACGTTTGAGCGCAGGTACGGGCAAGCGAAATGGGGAGGGAAAGGAAGAAGCCACCCCTCCCCGCGAGAACTCCATGGACGCCTCCCGAGCCAAGTCAAAACGGAAAGCTGCCCTCCCCACCCCACCTTCTCCCTCACGCTTTGTGAATCTTGCCTCCGCCGCCACTTTTGCACCCCACCCTACTCCCGATGAAGCTCGAGCTCGAGGCTGGTTCACGACCAAAAAGAATTGAGCGACGAAGAGATGGGCTCTTGCGCAGGAGAGCATGGCGGCTCAGTGGCTCAATTACGCAGGCCGCCAGCGCCGCGCACCGCCAGATCGGAGGTCCTCCTCCTCCTCGTCGTCCTCGTCGTCCTCCTCCTCCTCATCCTCCTCGCTCCTCGCTCCTCGCTCCCCGCTCCTCCTCCTCCTCGTCCTACAACACACACACACACCCATAGCCCCCGCGGAATCCCACCCCGAGAAACTGGAGGGTTGCGCAAGTGTGGTCGCTTGTTGTCCGCCCAGGACAGCTGGCGTGAAGCGTCTGGGCGTCCCGCTTCTTTCTCAGCCCGCCGTCCCCTCTCCGCGGGGACGACTTCTTCACGCCGCGGCTGAACTTCTGAGGGCCCCCGTGCCCGAAAACAGCCCCCGGAGGTCGAAATGCAACGAGGAAAGAGAGCCAGGACTGAAACACGCAGCATTAAAAAAAACAGACGCCAGTGGTCGTCCGGGCCCTCTCCCGACCAGAACAAACAGACGCCCCCCCGTGACCTCTCCGAGGTGCGCGGGGCCCAGCACTTTCCCAAGAGAGCCCGGCCGTGGGCACCAGGGGCGCTCCCCCGGAGGCCCAGGAGGGGGCCTCTGGAGCGCCCCTCGAAGCCTCGCAGCCTCGACGCCTCCAAGCCTCGACGCCTCGCAGCCTGCAGCCTCGAAATTACGCAGCCTCGCAGCCTCGCAGCCTCGAAGCCTCCGCACCTCCGCGCCTCGAAGCCTCGCAGCCTCGACGCCTCGCAGCCTCTCGAGGCCTCGCCCGCGCGCGCGGGCCCGGCGCGGCCCGCCGCCTGCCCGACGCCAGCCGCGCCGTCCAGTCCACCTCCTCGGGCAGGCCCGGGCCCGCGGCCCGGCGGTCGGCGTGGGCGCGCCGCCTCGCGGGGCAGCCGGGCTCACGGCGGAGACGACGACGACGACGACGACGACGACGACGACGACGACGACGACGGCGGCGACGGCGACGGCGGCGACGGGGACCACGACGACAGGGACCCCGACTCTGCATCCGCCGCGCTAACTGGGCGATGTCGCAAGCAGGACAGAACTCTCCGCACTACTGTTCAAGCTCCTTTGATGTCGATGTTGGCCCTATTTTGCCGTCGCTGTTTCCGCCTACTTTTGCAGAAATAGCCGCCTTACTTTTCTGGGGCGGGAATTTCCGCCCTACTGCTTCTCATCTTCAAGGATGCACTTCCGACACAACATGCATTTGGGAGTGTCCACCTGAGAGTATGGGCCGGGCCCACGGGCCGCGAGCCCGCGGAGACGGGCCGCTCCTCCTGCGCGCGGGCGCCCCGCGCGGAGCACATCGACCGCGTATCCGCGGGATCGCGCCCTGGAGCCCACACCGCGAGGGCGTGGGTACGTGAACACTGATGGGCGAGCTTCCCCACACCACTGCCACAGGCAGGACCGGGGGAGAAGGGGGAGAAGGGAGGATGGGAAGGTCCTCCTCCCCTTCCTCCTCCTCCTCCTCCTCCTCCTCCTCCTCCTCTTCTCGGCGTTTCTCCTGACACCGCGAGGATCGTTCAGCCTTGAAGGATCGGCCGTTTCCGAGACGTTCGATCGTTCAACATCGACCGATTCTGGATCGCCGGCGGCGTCGAACGCGGAACGCCCGCGCTGGGGTCGACACTGGTCGACACGACACGAGCCTACGGCACCCGCCAGTCGGAAGAAGTAGGTGGAAACATGAAGTTGGGAAGGCGGACTAAGCAGATGGGGTTCGGGCCCACCCAAAGAAAGTAACAGAAGGCAGCAAAAACACACACCGACTCTTGAAGTAGGAAGGCGCTTGAAGTAGATTGGGACCTGGGAATCAACGAAATACCTACTTCCAACGATCGCCGAGTAATCGTACTTAGGCCAGAAGAACACCCCTGAAGAAAACGAGACCCTCCGCCGGCCAAAACGAACAGAACTTCCAAGGGCACCTCCCCAGGATGCACAAGAACGTCCAACGAAAGCACGAAGAACACGAGGGCATCCTCCCCGAACCGACCTCGATCTGATACCTCGGTCCGACCGTACCTACTTCCAACGATCGCCGAGGCTGCATTGACGCCTCCTCGGCGTTTTCGAACCCAGCTTGAGCCAGCTTAGATGGCATGTTGGGCATCTTGGAGGCCGCGGAGTGTCGATTGAACGCATCGACTCTTGCAGTGGGAAGGCGCTTCATCTGGGATTCTCAAAAATGCCTACTCTCAACGACCG